GTAAGTGGGGCTAACAGACTCCAAAAGGGGAAGAACCGATATTCCTATGCTTCTAGTATTTACTAGTCTTCTGAAGTTTTGAATGGTGGATAAGTTAAAAATACAAGTTTAAGTGGAGTTAAACTGCACCGTGTTTGTGACACGCAAAAGTGTATCAGAACTGCTTTTAATAAACCTTTTAGATTCTCCCCAGTGTCCTATAATGATTGTACTAGCAGTCCTCTACAAATTCTTAGTACTACTAACATTCTCTTGGGAGTATAGCGGTGTCTAAGATGAGTCTCCATCTTATGGATCATTATCACAGTTTGGTTTGTATGGTCCAATAAGAATATTCACGATGGAACAAGTTGTCATAATTTTTACTACTATTACAGGTCTCTAAACCATTTATGAACTGTAGTCAAGATATTCCCGTTTTTATAAACCGTAAAATGCAAAGTTTAACTGTTAGACACAGTTTACATAGAAGCTGGTAAAGTGTAACTTTTTGCCTGTCTTATAAATCAGTGTAATTACATATTCAACTTTAATTACTGGTGCGTCTGTATTGGCAAGGTTTATATGTTATATTTTATGCAAGACTACGATTCCTATTAATATTTAGCAGCTAACTATATCATTAATTACTCTAAAATCTTTCCCCTACCATCTTTTTAATGGAGCTGAGAGAGTAGATGTATTAAAAATTGATGTATTGTAGATTTCAGAAATGTGTGTGACACTTGAAAAAATGCCTGGCCTTATTCAATAGGCCAAGCATATCAGTTTCTTGTTTACTAAAAAGTATGGACCCTGCTAGAACTTAGAGTTCAGGAGGAAAAGTTAGAATCTGAATCCTGAACAATCCATTCAGTTGTTAGAATGGGTTTTAACTTAATGTCCATACTTCTGAGAGTTAAACATCGCATACTTCTAATTTCAGGTTATTGAGGTAAGAAGAGTACTTCCTCTCATTCTTATATTTTCCTCCCCTATTTTTGTACTAAATATCTAGTCAGAGGCCTGAAAGCGAAATATGGTCTTTCTAGCAGCCTATTTCCATTTGACCTTTCACCGGATATTACTTTTGTTGATTTTTGAGCCATCTCATTCTATTTGGCATATTAATGTCTTTAAGACCATGTGCCTAATTGCTTTATAGCACTTTTACTCTATCACCTTTGTGAAAAACACACGGTGAACATTAATATATTTTATCAGGTTCCAAACCATTACTTTTTCAAAATGGAAAAATTTGTCTTTTGGAAGTGTCTTTAGATGTGTTAAATAATACAAAAGAAGTGATAAAACTGGAAGTAGAGAGAACATATGGATATATGCTCCTAAGAGTAGCGGTGCTCCCACACAAGGCAAGTGAGCAATCCAACAGAAGTTTCTACATCCCTGCTTTACCCTCTCAGCCATGCAGTGGGTAGCTTGAGGCCTTTTACTTTCAGCCATTCTCCTGAGTATGCTGATGCTTGCTCCCTGTATCAAATGCTAAAACAATAAAACTTTAAAGAGCAAACAAGAGTTAGATGCTGTTTTCCCCCTTTAAAAAAGACCAATTTCAGAGAAATGAAAGGTATTCCTAATAAAAGGGTTTCAGCTATTAATGCAACTCCTTGCGCTCCTATATGATATACAGGGGTTGTTATGAACGATATATAGAGGGTATGTAGGGAGGTGGTTTTTAAAACATATGTGTCCAGTGATAAGGATATTAAAATAAAAAATGAATGATTCAATACGATAGTTTATTAAACATTGTGTTTTAGAACCCGAAATAATAATTGGGCTAAATGACAGCATTATTAGTTTACTAGTATTTTTCATTTGGCAATTGCTATTTTCGATTTTTTCATTTTGTTATTTAGTTACACTTTAATTATAAAATACCTCAGAAAAAATAGTGTGTGTCAAACAATATATAAAAATTGTATATTTAATGCCTGATGTGGTGCCACTATGGGCTTAGAAAACTAAGATGTTCTTAGTCAATACATCGTACATTTTATGCTTATATGAATTAGTGCATGTGAAAAATATTTATGTGTTTTTTCCATAGAGAGATAAAAGGAAAGCTTCCCTCCGCTTATTGGAAATAGATTTCAGAAAAGACAAAAATTGGAGGAAGACCAAATCTTGTTTTTTCCTAAATTATATAAATTATAATCATGTTTAATTATCTTGCAGAATACTGAGTCAACATTCTCTCTTTGAATCTGTTTCTGCTGCGGTCATTAACATTTTGTATGTTGGATGTCAAATATTATTGATGGAATGTCACTTCAGTATTCTATATCTTCATCTTTATAGAGTTTTAAGATGCTCGGACTTAAAAGGCATTTTATGTACATTATTAGACAAAGGAAAATATTATCTAATTCTCTCCATCAAAATTTGTCTGCATATGGGCTTCCCTGGTGGCGCAGTGGTTGAGAGTCCGCCTGCCGACGCAGGGGACACAGGTTCGTGCCCTGCTCCGGGAAGATCTCACGTGCCGCGGAGCGGCTGGGCCCGTGAGCCATGGCCGCTGAGCCTGCGCGTCCAGAGCCTGTGCTCCGCAACGGGAGAGGCCACGACAGTGAGAGGCCCGCGTACCGCAAAAAAAAAAATTTGTCTGCATATAATTGAATGCACTTCAAAGTACTTTTTGAAAATTAAGCAGAAGTGAAAGAATTTTTTTACATTTCAGTAGCATAGTCATGTGTCCTGAAATGAAATCATGGTACTGGTCCTTGTTGTCATTGTTGTCATTGGTTGGGGGAGGGGAGGGAGTAAGTTAAGCTGATACAACTGTTAGCAAGAGGCAGAGGGGCCTAGTGGTATTAGTATATGAGCTCTGGTGACAGACTGTGGTGGTTCCAATCCCAGATTTAGCACTTAATAGCTGAGTACGATTTATTTGTTTCCTCAGTTTTCTCAGCTGAAAGTGAGGTAAGTCATAATAATATGTACCTCATAGGATTCTTGCAAATAAAACAAGTGACTGGAATATAATAATTGCTCCCTGTGTCCCTCATAGTGCCATATTCAGAGTTGCTGATTTATATTACCTCTTGTAATACCTCATTACTGCTGTAAAGGAGACCATAAACAATAAAAAAATATTTTGCATTTTAATACATTTTTTGTAGGCTCTCCATAACTGTATGGTTACTGTCTTTGATAGTCAGTCCCTTTGCTTTTCCTCCCACTTCGTCTTATAATTCATGAAGTAAGCAGATCCATAAGAAGTGAAAGAATGTGAGACAGGAATTTATGGTAGGGAGCACCTTACTCAGACTCAACGAGATAAGAGATTTTTGAGATAATAAGATGTTATCTGAGGTTGGAGGCAACGAACAATCCAAATAGAATAATATCAACCCAGAACAGGAGCTCACGATATCTGCCTGGAGAACACTGCATATGAGGTTTGACAGGAATGTAGAATATATGAAAGGAGACCAGACTGTTGAATGCTTTAAATGTCAAGCTATGGTGTTTGTTTTGATCAGTATGGAACTTACTAATGTTATAAGCTTGGGTTTCACATGACCAGAGATGTGCTTTAGGAAGAGTAATCTGAACGTGTACTGAATGAAGCATGCCTGAATGAAACTCAAGTGAGGTAGGATATTCTGGAGTTGGGAGAGACTGGAAGCAGAAGATGAGTCCTTGCAGGATGTAGTATCTGACTTAAGTACAAGACAGCGAGTGGACAGCAATGAATCCATACAAGAAGTGCTGTGAAGAGAAATACAGAATAAGACAACTGATTGAATGCTGGGGGCAAAGAGGAAAATTAGGAAAAATCATAGCAACTGTAAAAGCCTGTGAAGAGAAATAGAGGGCACAAGAGGATGGGCTCAAGGGGGAAAACGGTTATGAATTCAGTATTATCCTACTTGCTGAATCCAAGAACGTAAATGTCCTTAGATTCAGGAAACAACAAAACTGAAACTGTTTCTTCATTTAGTCTTTTTATTCAACTCCAGAATAGTAAAATAAAGAAGTATTCCTGAGGTTGATAGAAACGATGTTTTGAAGCGTTGGAAGAATAGAATAACTATGGTTTAGTGCTTCTTGTAAATTATTTTTAGAGAACAAGAAAGGCCAAGTTATCATCCATATTCTTCATTTTGACTCTCCATATGTAACACTTCCCCGCACTGTGGCTTTCACTCTTAGAGTGCCCTGAATGAAGGCTTTTGCCAAATTAGTGCATTTATTTTGCCTTAACTCTTTCTTCCCTTTCCTTTTTCATTCTCCTCTCTTACCTAAATTCTACCTTTCCTTAAGGGCCTCATCCTATTTTTCCAGGAGGCTTTCCCAAGTAATTTTGCAGTCAGGACCTACATTCTGCTCCACATTTCTGCTGCTTATATCATTATCTGGAACTAATGTATGTGTGTGTGTGTGTGTGTGTGTGTGTGTGTGTGTGTTGTCACGCACATGTGTGCTTGCACACGTGCATGCTCATTTTGCAGTTATCTCTGGCTTAATGGCAGGTCGCTTAAGGACAAAGACTGTGTTTTAGACATATTATAGTATATGAAACCCCTAACACATTATACCATACAAAGTAAGCCCTCAATAACCATATGATAGTGATTGTGAAGAATCAAATGGGAGGTGACAGTGAATGAGAAATGGTTTGACTTCACGAGGTAATCTCTCCAAAAGTACAATCCAGGATTCTCTTAGAACTCTGAAGAAAGGAGAAGAGATTTTTAGGAAGTAGAGTTAATGAAATAGAACGCTAGCTAAGAGATCTTTCTAAATATTGGCAGAGTGTGTTTGTGAACTTTTGTTTTTAATTTTAACTATTTAGTTAATATGTATTTTATAATTGTCCAAAGTTATGTCAATAGCAAGTGACAGGGCTTCACCGCATTCGTGATTATCCTCCCAGACCTTGTTAAATTTTTTTTTATCTTGTTGAAGGTGAAATGAAAAAAAAAATTATTGCGATTAATACAGTATTAATCAGATGTATGTTCAAGAGGATTTTAGCAGAAAGTAGGACAGGT